TACTCAGAATTTTGCTTTTCATATTATCTCCTGTAAATCCTGAGTCAGGAAAATTGCATTCCTGGGAGTTTCCACAGGATGCATACCTCCTCCAGGTCTTAATTTTCCTCTGGTTAACTCAAGAAAGACTTGCCCTAGTGAAGTATTCATGAGGCAGAGGACATCAGGCCACACTACTTCCTTATGATAATTCTTTGTTTATACACATTTTAGAAGAGTGAATGCCTATTCCTGGGTCAGTCAGTCAAAGCGGTGCAAAGGGGTGTTCCTTGGGAACTTCTGGGGACACTGACAAGGAGCACATGAGCCAGATGTAGAGCACAAGTTTCTCAGTGTTTCTAACACCAGAGACGGGGCACCAGTTCCTCCTCCCCAGTAGTTTCCAGAAGGTTTATGGGAAATCCAGCCATTGTTTCACTTCTGCTCCTTCTTCCTATCTAATCTTTTTCACCAGCACCACACAATAAACATCTCTCACAAAATGGGGTTTCTAGTGAAAGTGACTTAAAAGGATGTGGGTGGATATGAAGTCCAATGGAAACTTCAGTAGTAATGCATTTTAGAAATTCCTGTATTTATGCTGTGTTCATTCATCAAAAGTACATATTAGTAGCATAACCTAGATAGGCATTGTGCTTATTCTTATATATATTTCTATGTAAATTCCTATGCAATTCAAATAATATATTCTTCCTATTTAATTCTGTTTCTGGTCTGAAGAAATTTTCTGGTTAAACCGGAAAAATTCAGATGTCAATTGATAATTAAAATACAATTAAATAACTAAAGTATGTTTTAAAGCATACAAGTAGAACCTTATCTCAAAACTTCACAGAGGAGAGACACTGAAGAGGAGAAGTCAGAGAGCTAAGTGGGGACATCATGAAAAATGGTATATGTGAGGATCAGCAAACTCCTTTTCATGGGCTAAATCTGATTATCTCCCTCTTTAATATGGTCCATAAGATAAAAATGGCTTTTACATTTATTTAATGTTTTAAAAATTTTTAAATGGTACCAGAAAATTATATGACTCAAAGAATATTATGATATGTATAAATTTTCCAAAAATTTAGTCATACTCCTTTGCATAGATCTTGTTTACAGGTGTACTGATATCACATACATTAAGTATTAAGTGCTTCAGTTATGTGTGTATCGTGTGTGCATATTAGTTTAGGGACTGAGTAGTTAGGATAGAAATCACCTGGCACACAAAGCAAAAATAATTTTGTATATGGTCTTTATTAGAGTTTGCTGACTCCTGGTATAGAATAATGAAAAGAAATAATTGGTTTTAGAAAGAGTATGAAGCTCAGCTGTGCTGGAGATGAAGGTGTCTAGATGACAAGAAACCAAATATAAAAAGTAAGGGTAAGACTACCTTCTATCCCTTGCTGAAAACCCAAAGATTTCTTTTTTAAATTTTTTCCTGATCACAGCTTTTAGTGCAAGCTCTGCCTTTTGCTGCCCGTGTAAACACATTGCTGAATTCTTTAACTGCCAAATCACTAAACCTCTCTAAATTTCAGTTCATCCACTGGCAATATCCGCAGGATAGTAATCATGTCTAACCTAACTGTTGATATGAGAAGAAAATGAAAAAAAGTGTAAAATACATAATGCAATTATACAGTAAATATTCCCAACATATGTTCATAATTTCATTTTTATCTTTATACTTTTTTGCTACTCTAAAATAAATGTAGCTCACTGCAGAATGTTTGGAAAACCACAAAATTAAATGAAGGAGTCTTACCCCTCTTCTGCACATGAAGGTGATTACTGCTAAAACTCTGCATATTCCTTCACCTTTTTTTCCTCTGCACATATATCTAAAATTGGAATATTAGTATATCTTCTAATTTTTCTGAATATTGAAATTACTATTATAAGGTTAGTTTTACAGGATACTGCCGATCTCCACCTCCCAAATACCTGGGATTACAGGCATGATCCACTGCACCCAGCTAAGGTGAATAATTTAGAAATTTAACACACAATCACACACTAATATTGAAATGATTAAAATTCAGTAGTAGATATTTGTTGTAATGGATAATACAAGATACACATGCCTACATGTTGCTCTCATAACTTCCAGTTTTCTAGAAGACGGTCATCTCTGATCACATAAACAGTTCCAATTAATTAACACTCCAGTCTCCATATATTCCATGACTTTACTCGGTTTACATATTCTGTATACAGGGACTGGATTCACCAATAATACAACACTAGTTTCTACTTTATGTGCTATTTATTCTATCATAGATCCTTTGGTTTCATTAAAAAATATGGATTAATTTTGTGTATGTGAGCTTGAGAAAATAAAGATAAAATAGAATGCTGACATCACTAACCATTTTTGGAATCAAATCATATGTGTTGGTATGTTTTGTTTTATTTACTTGTTAGTGTTTCAGAGAATTCCAAGTTTAATGTGGTGGGGTTTTTTTTATTCATTTATTCACATGTGCATACATTGTTTGGGTCATTTCTCCACCCTGCCTCCCTCCCCTCTCCTCTTCCCCTCCCCCCCTCAGTTCAGGCACGTCCTGTTCTGCCCTTATCACTAATTTTGTTGAAGAAAAGACACAAGCATAATAAGGAAGACAAAATGTTTTTGCGAGTTGAGTTAAGGTCGCTATACAGAGAGATTCCTAACACTGCTTTCATGTACCCATGTGTTATGACCCATGTTGATTCATCTCTAATTGATCTTTACACTGGTTCCTGATCCCCTTCTCATGTAACCTCTGTCACTTTAAGGTTTCTGTATTAGTTCCTCTGGAGTGGGGACATCAAACGCTTTCATATTTTGGGTTTTCTACCTATTCCTATATCTCCTGTATGGGCTCTCCCCTTGTCATGTGATCCAAGTCCAACCACATTGCTGCATTTGTCCTAGATCTAAAGTCTGCGTATGAGGGAGAACATACAATTTTCGGTCTTCTGAGCCTGGCTGTCTTTGCTCAGAAGGATGTTCTCCAGTTCCATCCATTTACCTGCAAATGATAAGATTTCATTCTTCTTCATGGCTGAGTAAAATTTCATTGTGTACAAGTAATTGTGGTGTTATTTTTAAGAAATAATTTTCAACATTACACAATGGACACATGTATAGAGATATCACTTGGTATTCTAAATTTTATATGCATAATTTTATATTTTATGTATAATTAAAAATAGATTTAAAGTAGGCTTAGATTTTTTTTAAAGTAATGAGTTTTTTGTGCACAAATACTATAAAGTTTGAATATATTTTGAAAACCATATTGTTCACTAGGACATGATTGGTTATTAGCCTTTCTTCTTTGATTTGGCTTGTGGCTTAATGAATTATTATTAAATGGACTTTTATTAGATTACTATCATGCTCATCTGTTTTATTATTTATTACTGTCATTCTTTTTTTGGCTGACTTCTTTAGGAACATTAATTATTTGTTACTTTGGTTTCTGTTTTCTATTTCCCATTTTCCCCTTCTTCTGTACTTGTAGAAAACCATTATAATCCTGATCATCTAATTTTTCTACGTTAAGAGTCAAGTCTAAGCTTTCCTAATTCCAGTGAAAGTTTTGTCTCTACTGTTGCAGTTTTGTTACACTTTCATAATTATATATCGAACCTATTTTGTACACCATTTGTCAAATCCTTCTCTATTGCTGTTGCCTGAAAAGCATTATTAATTCCATTAGGTGTCCCTGTCCCTCGTACCTGACAATGAACAATATGTTTCTTATGTCATGAACTTCATTGTGATTTATAATTGATTGATTAAGATTATTTGAGTAGCTCAGCTCACCTGTAATCCTAGCTTCTCAGGTCGATCACAGTTCAAGGTCTGCCTGGGCATGGTGGTGTGTGCCTGTCATCCCACCTATTCAGAGAAGCAAAAATAGGAGGATCACAGTCCAGGCTACGCTGGGCATAAAGTAATGCACTGTTTCAAAATAATCAATGCAAAAAGAGCTGGAGCGTGTCTCAATCAAGCCCAAGGCCCTGAGCTCAACCCTGCAGATTCGAAAAGATTACAACTCTTATTTCTCTAAGTGCACATTAATTATTGATGTTTTTCTTTGAAGTTTCACTCTAATATTCCACATAATATTTATTAAAATGTTTTAGGAGCTACTTTTTAATTTTTGCCTTCTTCAAAGAGTTGAAAACACCATAAGTGTGTTTACTTATTATTTATTTGTGTTAAATAATTCTCAGTATCTTAATTTTGAAAGCCACTGGAATATGTGAGTACTGACAATCAATTGTCAATTACATCATTGTTGAACAAAAGCAGAAGTGCCTAAGACTGCTCCCTATAACGTGGGTATGCAAGAAAGATTAATTATTATGGATTTTAAGTAGTCTATAGTTCTTACATTGCCTGGTTTGGAAGTTGTGCAGTAAACTGATCACATCTTGTAGCAATCATTTCCCTGCATTCCTTTACCACATTTCCCTATTCTGAAATTACCTCAAAAGAAAATATAGTAAGACAACACACTTTTTTCCTTGCATACTCTGTCAAATTGTTTTGGGAACTATTAATTTTGGCAAGAGATAAAACTTGAAAGCAATTAATCTTTCATTATGGGAGATTTAAAATATATGTAAATGCAAATTTTCGACAGCTTTTCCATCTGATTTCACTCCTTTGTCTCAGTACTCTATTCATTTTACCCCATTAACAAAGTATTTTAAGGGTGTAGCGCAAAATGGTTATGCATGAAAATGCTAAAATTTGTTTCAAAAATGGTCATAAAGTAGAAAACAGATCATAAAATAATAAGATTATGGAAAGATAAGCCATCTAATACATCAAAGCTTAAGCACAGGATATGTTTTCTTATGTCTTTATTCTTAGACAACTAAACACACTTCTTCAGATCCTGACCTTACTTCTTTACCTGACGATAAGGAGGAATCAAAAATAACAATTCCAGAATCTGACACTTAGAATCAAAAATTTCTCTCCATGACCACATTGCGGATTTATATCTATATCTATGGCTACAGGAAACTGGACAAGAATAAATGCATTTATCCTCATGAGCTTCTCTTCCCTGCCTGCTGAAATACAGTTGTCGCTCTTCCTGGCATTCCTAACCATCTACCTGGTCACCCTGATGGGAAACAGCCTCATCATTCTGCTTACCTTGGCTGACCCCATGCTGCACAGCCCCATGTACTTCTTTCTCAGAAACTTGTCCTTCTTGGAGATTGCTTTCAACCTCGCCATTATGCCCAAAATGCTGAGTACTCTGCTTATCCCAGACACAGCCATCTCTTTCCTTGGCTGTGCCACTCAGATGTACTTCTTCTTCTTCTTTGGAGTGGCTGAATGCTTCCTCCTGGCCACCATGGCATATGACCGCTACGTAGCCATCTGCAGTCCCTTGCATTACCCAGTTATCATGAACCAAAGGACACGTGCCAAATTGGCTGCTGCTTCCTGGTTTCCAGGATTCCTTATAGCTACACTGCATACCACATGGCTCTTCAGTTTCCCATTCTGTGACAACAAAGTGAACCACTTCTTCTGTGACAGCCCACCTGTGCTGAGGCTGGTCTGTGCAGACACAGCCCTGTTTGAAATCTATGCCATTGTTGGAACCATAGTGCTTGTCATGTTACCCTGCTTGCTGATCGTGTGTTCCTACACTAGAATCACTATTGCCATCTTCAAGATTCCATCAGCTAAAGGCAAGCATAAAGCCTTCTCTACTTGTGGCTCACACCTGCTTGTTGTCTCTCTCTTCTATATATCCACAAGTCTCACATACATTCGGCCTAAATCAAATAATTCTCCTGAAAGCAATAAATTGTTATCATTGTCCTACACTGTTGTGACTCCCATGTTGAATCCTATCATCTATAGTCTGAGAAACAATGAGGTGAAGAATGCCCTCAGGAGAACATTCCACAAGGCCCTAACCCTCAGAACCCATTTCATAGTCATCCTCTCTCCTCTTTACACATCCATTAGACTGAAACCCAGCTGTTGAAATGGCTACTGGAAGCTCAGTAGAGAGAAAAGAGCCCAAAGGTCATTTATACCTATTGGTACCCTCTGCCAAATGTCTGTGCTTCCTGTTGTAGACATGAATGTGTTACCTGAAAGTCAGTCCTCTGGCCTCAATTTCAATTCACAAGTAATGAGAGGAGGGTTTTGAGGAAAAGGAAAAAGGTTTATTATTCATCAGATGAAGAAGAGGACAGGGACAGTCAACTTCTCAAAGACCTGTTGTCCCCTTCTGAGAGAAAAAGTCTGATTTTGAAATGGGAGTTTGAGTTCAGGGACTCAGTTTGCATACATGATGAAATGCATGTCCCAGAGGAGGTGCCGGCCTTGGTTCCTCAAGTGCCCTGGTGCCACATCTCAGAGGCTGTATGTGCTGGCTGACAGTTTACACCTCTAGTGGTAAAAGAGAAATAATGGGTAGAAGACTGCCTGGCTTAAATGAAAAGTAAAGGGTCTTAACCTTGAACTCTTTAGCATGTAGATAAAAAGGGGGAAATGACAGTTTGAGTAACAAGATGCATAACTGGTCAGCATGCAAACTGGCTCTTGTCTTGCCCTGATTTGGACATATCCTTGCCCAGTATGTTCTTAGCATTTTTTTCCCTTTTGTAGTCCTGGTTACATTTTCCCCACTGTCTATTTATTCCTTCCATTTCTATGGAAAACAGGAGTCACAATCATCAGTTTCCTGCCTTTAGTTAATAACTGGGCCCAAGTAAAACTCAATTTTCCTCAGGAAAAACAGATTTTAACCACTTTTGTAGCTGTGACATACGTAGCAGATAGTATGAAACTGTTTATAATGTGTACTTGGGGACACACACTAGAAAAGACAGCAAAAATTACCAAAAGGGATAGTAGTCCTTTATTTTGTTTTGGATTGGTCTGACTCTACTCATCAGGGAAAAAAAAGCCTATAATCCTCCAATACACACTTCTTGTTCTCTATTTTTATTTCCCATGCCCGCTAGACAATGTTAGAGCTGAAGTTTGTTGGCATTTAGCACAGATAAAAGAAAATGCATCCCAAATCCACATACATACTACTTTACAATCCCAGCAGTCTTAATTGACTCCTTCCTCAAGCTCATCTTCCCTCGTGAAATGGGCTGAGTCTCTACTTCTCTCTCATTTTTAAGTTCTTAACTCTTATTAAAGTAATTTCCATATTCATGTCCATAATTCCTATTTCTATCTTAGTGCAGTTTTCTTCAAGGCTTGCTATAGATCTTACTGGGTCCTTTACAAACTTTCTATATTGTGCTTAGTACTTTCAAGTTTTAAATTTTTAAATATTGTTAATATGAAAATACAAGAGAAAATAAAGCACAATTACTGCCATCACAAGTTAATAATTTAATTAACATTGACATGTTCGGATGAAAGTTATTGCTAAGAGAAAATTCATTTTATAGCTAAAGAAAGTGAGATTCAGACAAAATAGTTGGAACTAAAATTCAAGTGCTTGACATTTAGTTCAAAATTTTTCAGTAACAAAGTGTGCACAATTTAAGTAAATAATCAATTCAGATTCTAAGTAAAAGAACAATTAATAAGAGCAGAATGGAAGAGACTTGAGTCAGAATTAGTATATTTGAGAAAGATGTGAACAGTATAAATTTATTATGACTTTATGGTGCACTGGTAGGAATATAACTAGATTTATAGGGATTTAAAAACAAATAGCTTCACACCAGGCCAGAATGATTAGACTATATTTGGAATATCCACCATTAAAGACACATTTTTGTGAACTAGAAAGCTGGAAAATTTTGATAAAAGGATAATCAGACCATTTTCAGACCTTGAGTCCATAAGAGTTCAAGTGAAGGCATGAGCAATATTTCTTTTAAGAAAATATGTAAAACTAATCTGTGATATTAGAAGTCAGGATCCTCATTACCTTTGAAATGTGGTGGAATAAAGCCTGATTTTTTTCACAATATAAAGTAAAAAAATGCTAAGAACATACTGGGTAAGGATATGTTCAAATCTAGGCAAGACAAGAGAAAATACTAGATATGAGAAGTCTTGTGAGAATAAAGGAAGATGGGTGAAGACAGTGAGGGATGTGTGGATAAGGGCAAGGAAGGGAGGGAGATGCGTATTTTGCCCTCATCATTTTAACAAAAGTTGAATCTCTTAATCATTCTATGTCTTAGTCACCTTGTTGTTATCAATCAAATGTACTCTAAAATATTAAATTCCATGAATTTGTAAAAAAGTATGTATTGTTTAATAAATCAGGCATAAACCTTGAAGAACTTGACTTTTGATAGAAGACAGTCTTTGTGTGTTTTCTGGTTCCATTGTAACATATAATCTTAAAGTACAAAATTAGATCATGTATTCTACTAATATTAGCTGTTGTCTGTCTATTGAGAAGTTCACAAAACTTTTGCTACTTATATTTTTACTTTGCGTTTAGAACCAGGATGTATAATAAATTTCTGGATAATGACAAGCAGAGAGCGAGAGAGGGAGACAGAGAGATTAGGTATTATCTTCAACTATGTGGCTAACAGAGAAGACAATATGGATGTCTCAATGTTGTCTTCAAAATTAAGGAGTAGAATAAATGGATAGAATTAAATAAATCATTACTTTTTAAGCACTCTTCTGTGCTCAACAATATGGAGGAATAGATTTTTGTCAATTCTCACATTCTCATAATAATTGGCTATGAATCTGAATAATTTAAACATGTATGTTGGAAATACATGAAAACTGGGACTCTCTTTACTAATAAACCCAAACCAAGAAACTCTACCTTGTTCTACAAGGGAACTGATTTCACAACTTTTGCTCAATACATAACATTGTGTAACCTAAATGAGACCCACGCTGAAGTATGAAACAATTCGACTCAATTTATCACCTCCATGAAATAAATGCTAAAGTTCCAAGCCCCAACACTAATTTGCTTCAATATCTTCTCTTTTTCTTCAGGTATAAACACACAGAAACTATACATAATTTCTGTTTACCTTACTTCTTCTCTTTTTTCCTCCCAACTACCTCATGCCTTATTTAAACTAATGCTGCCACAATTTCTTTAATTATCCCATTTATTATTTTCATTTTTAAATGCAGAAACACATTCAGATAATCCAAAGATCATACCTTGAGCAAATAGTAGAACTAGGACTTAAAGCTGATAATCTGATACCAAGTATACTGTTCTGCCATCGTAAATTAATGTGAGTCATGTTACCAATGCAATAAAGAACTTTCTAAAATAAACTTCTAAAAAATTAAGTAAATAGTTTTATCACAAAACAGTTAAGGGAAGAAATTTACTAACCACTTTTCATGTATCATTATGCAGGGTATTCTTTCTAATTTATTCTGGATGATATCTTTGATATAATTATATAATTAGAATTTTGTTGTTATATAGTCAGCAATGGCTCTCATTCCAATTTGGAAAAAACTGAAAAGTACAAAGAAGAAAAGAATCACTAAATTATTATTACCCAAAAACAGATGATACCCCATTTTACCATACTTCTAATAATATCTGATATACCATACTGATGGAGCTATACTACATGTACATCTTTATGCTTGTTTTAATTGGTTAATATCATAACTAAGGTTGTGAGAATGGGCACCCAATAAAACACAAGAGTAGCTTCTTGTCTAAACCTGGAAATAACATTGATAACTTCTACACAGAATTGTGACAGCTAAATTGGGTAAGGAATGTAAAGGTCTTAATCCTAATCATAAATTATTTTTCATTTTATCATAATTTGTAAGAATAGTAAATATGATATTTAATATCTAAAGTATACCAAGCTGTTTAGGTTCATGATTTAATTATTTACTTCACATACTCTCTTATTTTTTCTAATTAATTTTTTTAATTTTCATCTTATTTAATTTTCATGTATTTGGGGTACATCATGACATTTACAAAAGTGCTTACAAAATATATTCATTAAATTCACCCCATCTGTCATTCTCCTTAACTTGCTTTCCCCCTTTCTTAGAATCATTACAACAGGTCTCATTCTTCCATTTTCAGTACATAATATTTCTATGATATTCACTCTTCTATAGACTTTCTTTATATCCTCCCAACTCCCACAAGTATGAACCCCCAAGACATGACTGATTTTACTTTCTTGTACTTTATTTTTGGAAAAAGACATTTTTGTTTGTTTCAGATAGCTATACATGGAGTTTCATTGTGACATTTCCATGTATATCTATATCTATATATACTATTGTTTGGCCGGTGGGCAGCCACCCCATGGCGATCAGGGACTCTCTGCTCACTTTCCACTCCATCCCCTCCTTCCCTTCATGATTACCATGGCAACTCCTGCTGGCAGGCAATGGGTCCTGACCTATCCTACAGATCCATATTACCCCGAGCTCCTCCCCACCAAACCTCAACCTATCCCGATGCTGCATAATACCTTAAGCTCTTGACTTCACCCAGGATATAAAAACTGGGCTGCCATTTCTCCGGCGCGACTTCTCCGGCCCTGCTCTTTGGGGACAGTGAACCTCGCCCGAGAGCACGAGAGCGTGCTCTCAATAAAGCCTGCTTAAAGCCTGCTTGCTTTGTTATTTGGCTCCAATTTGGCCTTCCCATCAGCATTGACCTAACATTTGGTGCTGAAACCTGGGAGGAAGCGAGCCTCACCCGACTCCAGGCAGTCGGGGCCCTGGGCCAGGCCCTGGCTTGAGGCCCTTCCTCCTCTCCGGATCCACACTCCGGCTCCCGCTTGGGTGAGTCTCCTCCCCCGTTTTGTTCCTCCTTGGGCCCCCATCCTAGTCGCAGCCATGCCAGGATCAGCCCCTCCACTTCTCCTCGCACCTGGGCATTCGGAGAGACGTCTACCCTGTCCAGGCTGCCTCCTCCGAACCGGGTCTCCTCTTTTAGTGAGGGACGCTTCTCTAAAGGTTGAGACTCTCCGACAATTTGGGGATGGGGTCCTCCCAATCCAAGCCAGACTCAGGGACTCCCTT